CCCAGCCAGCTTTGCTGGCTGGGGAATTCTGGGAGTTGAAGTCCTCCAGGCTTAAAGTGGCCAAGGTTGGAGATCCCTAATTTAGAGAGACACACATTAATTGGGGGTGCAGAATGGAGCCTCCACATTCAGGAGCAACCCGAGGAGGGAAAGGCCTGCAAATGGGCTCGCTGGAGACATCGGGCCGGGAAGACCCCCACCCCCCCCACCAAGGGACGACCCCCCCCCCCCCAAACCAAGCAACTTTGTGACCGTCGGGACAGAAACACTCACGTTCTTCCTGAAGTAGCGCAGGCGTTCCAGGTACCGTTTTCGGGCAAGCCACATCCGAACCCAGGACTGAATCTGGTGCAGCGGAGATGGTGGAGGGAAAGCCAAACCATTGGCCTCTCACAGGGGAAGGCCCAGCACCACCCCCCCCCCCCCCCCCCCCCCCCGCCACTCACTTTGATCGCAGCGGCTGCGTTCCTCCGCAAGTAGCCCGTCCTGTCCGCGTAGCGTCTGCGTTGCAGGTGACCACGCCAGGCGGCCTGGGGGCAAGAGGGCAGGGGTCACCCTCCCAACCTCAGGGGCTCTCCCCTTGGACCAGCCCTGTCTTCTTCCAGGGCCTTTCCCAGCCTTCCTCACAGACTGGAGACGGGGCCCCCACGCCCAGCCCTCCAGAGGCAGCTAATGCCCAGCCGGTCCGGGGCTTCTGACCTCCAGAATGGGGCATCGCTGCTCCTCCGGGGCAAAGCCCCCCCCCCCCACTTTGGGCACCAGGGACCGGTCTGTGCCGAGAGGGTTTTCCCGCAGATGGTTCCGTGTGCTGCCTGCATCCTGCAGACGGGGCTTCACTTGCTTGCCCGGCCCGGTTTCTGGCAGGCCGTGGCCCCGTGCCGGTCCACGGACTGGGGGCTCAGGGAGCTCTGCTCTAGGGGCTGTGAGGACCCCCCCACCTCTCAAGATGGGTCCAAGGAAGGAGCCCTGCGACAGATCGGGGGAGGCGGCCTCTCTGCAAAGGTGCCCTGCACCCACCTGGATTTGGGTGGCTGCCGGCACTTGCCGGGACAGGAGCCGCTGCCGAGCGGCCCAGCGCTGGCGGAAGAGGAAGCCCCGCATCCGGGCCTGCAGCCGGACGACCAGCCAGGCACGGGATTGCCAGAGGCGCTGCCGGTCGTGGGTGGCAGACACGCGGGTGATGGCCCCCTGCGGGAGAGACAGACGAGCGGCCCATCGGGACAGCTCAGCACACCCTTCACTCTGGGAGGCGCGAAGGGTCCACCCGGGGGGCCCACCTGATGCCCCCCCAGGCTTTCTGGGAGAAGGAAAGGTCCAGAGGAGGCAGAAAAAGGGGGGCAGCCTGTGCCAGGACTGGGACCTTCCCTGGCGCCAATGACCAGGCGAATCCAAAGCCCCCCGTGGTGGTGCTTTTCTGCCCATCCTGGCTCTGCTCCCCTTCAAACCCCCAAACTCTCCGTGCTGCATTGCACGGACCTGGCGGGGTCCCCTGGCTGCACATGCTCTTGCCACACCCACCTGGATCTCCTCTCGGCTGAGGTGGGCCGTGTTGAGGGCGAGGGGCCGGGGCTGCTCCCAGGAGCCCTCAAAGGACCGCAGGTGGAAGTAGTACTCGGAGCCGTCCCTCAGTCTGTGCCGCACCCAGAGCGCCTCCGAGTGGCCCCCTGCACACACACACACACACACACACCAAGAGCAAAACATTACGGCCAAAGGTTGGACGAGCAACTTAGAAAGTGGGGGGGGGGGGCGCCCCCCCGCAGCATGGACCCCCCCCTTTTACCTGCCGGCCTTCGTGCTGCCAGGAGGGCACTGAACTGTGCCTGGTAAGCTGCGGCACACTCCGCCACCACGCCACAGAGGCCCACGTCCGGGCTGCGCAGGACGCGCACGGTCTGCGCTGCATTCCCCTCCTTGATGGCCTGGTTGATGGCAGCAAGGCCCAGGGCCACTGTGGGAGAGCCAGAGGGGGCTGCGGCTGGGGCGGCAAGCCGGGGTCCCAGGGCGGTGGGGGTGTCTCTCCCAAGCGCCCCCCCCCAGGTCCAGGCGGCCCCTCAGCCCCTTTCCTTACTTTGCTGCGCCGCTTTGCTCTCCCGGTTGGCCTCGCAGACCCCCTCCTGGATGTCCTCCCACCACAAGAGCACTCCGGGGTCTCCGGCCGCCTGCGCAGGGAAAACAAAAGGGCCCCGCTCTGAGTGAGTCGCCCAGACACTGGCGGTGCAGCCAGTCTGGCCCAGGCGGACGAATCGTGGCTCCTCCGGAGAAGCCGCGACCGCCAGCTCCACAAAAGCCGAATCTGCTGTGCGTCGGTAAAACAAACCCAAGACCTGTGCAGGGGACGGCCGTACATTTCCCACACCAGGCTTGTGAGGTAGGTCCCACAGGGAGGAGGAGGCCAACCGGGGTTGCCATCAGCCCCACAGACGCCTCTGACCCCTTCAGGCGGTTGGAACCTTATTCCTCAGCAGTCCCAACTCTTGTGGCACCAGGGACCGGAGTCCTGGAAAGAACCACCTCTCCACAGACTGGGTGTGTGTGTGTGTGGGGGGGGTGCAGTGATGGTTTTGTGTGTTACTCGGAGCTCCAGCACATGCACGGATGAAGCGTCTCTCACTGGTTCCTAACAGGCTGCCTGGAAGTTGGAGAGCCGCGAGCTTTCCCGGCTCGCAGACTTTACGAAAAACCAGGCGCCACAAGCTCCAATTGTGCAAGCCAGAGAAGGGGCCACCGGGTTCCTTCTGAGTTTGGATCCCATAGACCCGTGATGGCCAACCTATGGC